AGGACACAAGAGAACAGTGGCAGAATTTCCATCTGAGGCGCTAGTGTTAGCACGATCGTCTGAAGAACCCGAGAGAGGGGGTGNAGTCTCACTGAGCACAACCTACTGTCGACTGAGAACCAGTCCAGGAGCGCGGCTTCAGTTCTCTCACTGAGAGCCACATCAACGCCAGCAAGGCCGGAAGCCGCAGCCTCAGGTTTCCCGAGAGAGGCGTAAGTGAAACTTCACTGATGGGTTTGATGGGGACGTCAGTCGGATAATGGAGCTGGAGTCTTGAGTGCGAGTCTCTTGGAGACAACACACATCGATGGCTAGGGCCTCGAGCGTACGAGCTAAACCGACCTGTTGTTCTATACGCATCGGAGTGCGCACATTTAATGTGGCTAGTTCAAATGGGCATCGAGGGCGAAGAAGGGCTTCAGGTAATGAAGCATTTGGTGAGATTTGGACAGCAGTCGAGGTAGGATACAAGAGAACAGCGGCAGAATTTCCGTCTGAGGCGGTACTGTTAGCACGATCTTCTGAAGAACCCGAGAGAGGGGGTGGATGAAGGGGGTGAAGGTGGGATGGGGGAGGGCTGGGCGAACATGAGTGTGCACGGTGTAGAGTGTTTATCTCTAGGTGCAGAGATGGTAGACTGAATGCACATAAAAGCCGAAGGGTTCATCATTGCTGGCGTTGTTGGCTGTTATACTACTCGGTCGTCCAGTCCAAAGTAGACCTTTTTCGAGGGTGCACGCTAGCCTTTGCGCAACCAAACGCGGACTGCATAGCAGCAGTGATGTTCCTGGTGAGTCGGTGGCCAATATTTGGTTCATTCGCCTCTTCTGGAAAACCTTGCCGAACAATAGTTTTCTACAAGGGGCGATGACCAAGTTTAGTGGTGGGTCACACCCGCCACGTCACAGAGCTGTCCACAGATTTGTGTAGTGTTTTGTGCGGAGTACTCTTTCCAGGAGGTAAACCCACCACATCCCTGAGCGCTGCGCTGATCGTCCGCGACAGCTTGTTCGGAGGGCTAGAGCCCACCTTATTCACGGTTAGCCGTGAGTTGACGGCCGGTCCCCTATCCGCGACCTGGGGACGCGCTCATTAGCATACAACTCTGCTCGACTTGTGGTTTGACTGTTGTCCACAACTATGCGTTTCTTATGTCTTTCTTGGGAGGTTACCAGAATTTGTGACCCCCCAAAAGACCTTGACGTTTCGCTAATAGCTGCACGTAGTAGTTTCTTAGTTTTAGCTCACATGACTGATTCGGTTAGTGCTAAATTGCGTCGGGAGCTGGCTGCGATAAACCAGCATTCGGATAACGAATCCTCAAACAAAGATTGGGGGTTATGAGGGCACAGTAAATGGGGAACTAAGTCCCACTCGCTTGTGTAGTTAAAGAAAGTCGTGGTCTAGTAGTTGTACTTCTGCACAGGGGATTGTCGTGACGGATCGCTTTACGTGTTCATAGCTCATGCTTTCACAAGCTATACAAACAAAGGAATACCATTGTGAGACTCGTGACAAGGTTACTAGTCTCGTGAGGGTGTCATTCCAGTTTTACTTTTGAACAACGGTCTTACATTCATAACTGTGGAAGGTTTCTGTATCGATAAGTGCCTGTAATGAGATACCTTCAACTGACATTCGCGTGACTGCTTTGATCACTCGTTACTAAATTACTGCTAGTGATTCCCCATGAAATAAATAAATAGCAGATTTTGTAGCCTCGTCAATCTTTGAATTAGGATACCTTCAACTTGAGAACTCTGATGCAGATAGGTCAACAGGCGTTTCTTGAGATTACAATGAATCTGCTGCATATAGCATACACGAGTTCAAGATCCCAGGTATAATTCTGAAACACCAGTTCAGAATCAAGGAGATCTATTTATTTTCGGTTAGTTGCCATATCGTTCGGTGTCTCCAACCAACCAATTGCAGAGTCTTTCGGACCCCAACGTCGAAGACGGAGGACACCTATTCTACCTAATCGCTCTATGCACTTCTTCACGCCTCGTTCCCCGTCATCTTTTGACCTCCACGCGGTTTCCTCTATCCTGGAGCCGCAACTGCGAATAAGGCGTGGTGCGGTAAACGATGGTTGGGCATGCTCAATACGTGTACTAACCAGCGAAGCCGGTTAATCCGAATTCGATGGGACAACGAATTCTCCATCGAATCATTACCAAATGCGCAACGCCTTACACGCTCGCTCCATTCAACGCGTGATAAACTACGTAAACATCGGTAGTCGAAGACTTGTAAGTGGTGAACCTCTTCCACACGCAAATTTAGGATCTCTCAACCATAAAGCAGAAGTGATCGCACACTGGCGCAGTTTACACGACCTTTCAGTTTCCACGAAACATCGCGTCTGCACCAAAGGTGTTTCAGTTTTTGTAAGCTGCTTGAGCCTTGGAAATGCGGGTGGTTACTTCATTGACTATACCACCATCGTATGACACGCAGTAGGAGAAACATTGCACTACAGCTGATTCTTGACCATCAAGCATCAGTGTCCGGGTAGGCGACACCCAATCCTGTGGGATCACTGTACTTTGAAGGTTGAAAGCACATACCGAAAGGAGATACAGAACTTACCAGTCTGTCAAGAGCGCTTTGCTCATCCTCCATGCATTCGAACATGCATACGGTGTCGTCAGCGTACTCTAAATTGCGCAGCTTTTATCCAGCTGCCCATTCAATACAACATTTAGAGACTACTAAGTGTGCTTTCCAGTATTTTGTCTGCGACGAAATTAAACAGGAATGGGGAAGTAGAGTGAGTTTGAAGAACATCTCTCCTAGCTGTGAACGATTTGATTAGCCCACCGTAGATTCTTATGCTACCAAATGTATGCAGGTACAGCGACCATAACATGTATATATGCTCACGCGACATTCCTTTGTGAAGCAGCGATCCCATAAGAGTTTCACAGTCAACTGAATCGAAGGCTCCTTTTAGGTCAAGAAACACTGCGATTGTTGGCCGGCGGTGTATGAGACGCGATTCGAGGACTTGACGCAGAGAGAAGATTTGGTCGATGCAACCGCGATGTGGTTGAAATCCGGTTTGCTGTTCGCGGATATTCCTCTACCTTAGAGGTTTTGGGCGGCCAAATATCACAGTAGTCAACACTTTTGTGATGATTAAAACTAAACAGATCCCGCGGTGGTTAGCGCAGTCGTGTGATCCCTTCTTAAAGATCGGGACAATCAACGATTCACCCCAGGACAAAGGGATACG